TATATATATATATATATATATATATATATATATATGCTAATATTCACATTTTGATTAGTGATGTTTTATTGCGCATTTGCTGCAATTTAATGCTTATCATTTGTTCACAGTTTATTCATTGGTAGCAATATGAATGAATAAACGATTAGATTCTCGATTGAAAACGTTGTCAGCATTAAAATCAAAGGTGTGGGTGTGAGAGAAAGGACACAAAGCTCAATGAATATCAAGTGATTTTCCATCATGTCCTTTCTTCAGATTGAAATTGCATTTTTTATAACGTTCATTCGCAGACTTGTTCAGGCTTCTTCGTTTTGTGAGTGTATTGTGGCTTGCTTCGTGAATTTGGATGATATCACTGTTGAATAAATCATAATCGAAGACGACTGTTCACGGCTAATTTCCTGTTCCATTCGCATGAGATGCGTGCTGCTTGATTTCTGGCATTAGAAAAAGTGTATTTGTTATTTTTTGCTGTTTAGTTATTCGAGCGATGACTATGTTCATCTATGATTAAAGATAACGAAGAGTATTGGGCGAGTGGGTTGATCAATTACGCTTAGAACAGTGGTTCTCATTGCCCATTGGAGGAAACTGAGTCTGTCAGCAAGGGTTTGAAGAGGTTGGCATGTCATTGTTGATTGATTTCATGATTCTTCCATAACCATTCAATAACGGATTCGAAATGGTTTTTTGATCAGAAGGAATTGACTTGTTTGAGGCCGCTGACGGGTTTTTGAATGAAATGTTTTTGATCAGTGGAACAATTTCTTGGTTTTGTTCAGATTCGTTGCTGATATATAATAGATTATCAGAGAGTGGAGAATCTCGGTCATGTAGGTTATTGAAGGGGGTAGGGAATGGTGGTGATCTGCCATACCGCCCAAAGTAGCACACAGTGCAAAAACCTGAAACCCACTAGAATAGAGCGTAAAAGTTTTGCGTTTTGCTGAGAAGTACTAGCTGAAAGCTTGAACGGGAATGATCGTTATTATTGTCGTTACCTTTGTGATTAATAATAATAATATTATTGTTATTTTTCTCATTGAATCCATCTCTCTTATCACCATGAAATCAAAAATTACTCCGATGAATCAAATGATCATAAATGTTCTGATTATAATGTGCAGTTGTCTGTTTCATCGTATTCCATGCACTTATTTGTTTCAGCATTATGTGACTAATTATTAATATTACTAACATAGGCTTAGGCATCTTTTCCAAATCATCAGAACTGTCAAGGTGAAGAAAATTGTTTGTTAGGAACGATTTGATTTGTCTAGCGTAAAATTTATTTTTTGAATTATAGTTGAGAGTTTGGCGAGTAGTTGGTGTTGATGCGGGATTTTTGCGTTTGGATTTCTCTTAATATCAGTGAACGTAAGCGCAAATGTTCATTTGAAGCAATGTAAAATTGATGCGATCGTCGTTGGAATGAAAGAAAACATTCGGATGGAATAAACGAATGATCGATTGATATGCAATATTTTATGAATGCCTAAATGCTTGATCAGTCGTGTTCAATTTCAGGTTTTATATCTTAATGCAGAAATGAATGAAAGTCGTTAGATGTATTCGCATGAAATGTACGTTGATAATGATTAATTTTTGATTAATTTACTCAAAGAGGAATGAATGCATTTTGTGGGGAAACAATGAGAATGCATTCTGATTCAATTAAATTTCATTTAACGTCTATGCAACGGGTGGTGGTAATTTTGCAAAAGAATATTGATTGATGGTGACGATGAGTGAAATATTAAGGGAATTGTTAATTTGGATAAAACCATAGGTATGTTATTTGCATTAGAATGAGTTGAATGTGTTTGAGTTTTATTTAGAGACAGGATTAGATTTAGTTATACAGAAAGAAGGATGGATATATAGTACTATGAGTGGTGTGGTATTGTTATATATTCTTATTGATTTCGAGTGGGTGGTTGGTATGACGTTGTATCAGAGATGTCGCTTTTACGTATAAAGACAGATGATGAGCGAAAGGGGAGATATATATCTGTGGATATGTATGTATATACGTACACAAATATGTTTATATCAATGTTATTAAATGACGTATTCTGTTTATACATCATTTATCATGATTACATCATCTTATTCGTATTCGAATATGCTTCTGTTTAATGTGATAAGAAGTCGGTAATGTTTTTGAGAGAGTTCTTATTAAGCTTTATTTCTTGTATCGCTATTGTTGCGTATCAATACCTCTCACTTATGCCCTTCTTGCTGAGATCACTCAAATCATTCTTGAATTCATATACTTTCTCTTTACGATACTAATTCCTTCACAACTTCCTTATCGGATGTTTGTGTTCCTTGCGATTGCTATGTTTGATGGAAATTTTAAAGTGCATCTATGAATTGTTTACTTTTTGTTGTTTTTGATGTTTGGACATGTCGTATCTACTCCAAATTAGTACTACGTTTGAGTGTTTAGTAATTTGCCATTCCTATCCTCTTGTGTTTATTATTCCGTAAAGATGAAGCATTCGTTGAAGCGTATTCGT